CATTTGACTTTGTTGACTACTCTCTCCAGCAAGATACTCTCTTTTCTCTGGGTTTTTGTGACTGTGCACTTTTTGAGTTCTCCTCTTACCAGTTTGACTGCTCCTTTTCATTATCCATATGCCCCCTAACAATAGGTATACCCCAAAGCTCAATCTGGGGACTTCTTTCTTCTCTCTGTCCTTTTTTTCTTGTTTACTTTATGAACTCCCATAGATTTAATCATTATTTCTAAGCCCAAGACTCTCAGATATCCAGTTCTAGTCTTTCTTTTGATCTTCATTCATGCATCACAAACTGCCTGTGGGACATTTTGTCCTGGATGTCCCATAGGCATCTCATTCTCTTTTCCCTGCCAAATCCACCCTTCCTCCAAACTTCTCTATCCTTTTTATGGGCACCAGATGCTTCTAGACATCCAGATTTACAATCTCAATATCACTCTCTGACTTCTCGGTTTCCCACATCTAATCAGTTGTTGAATGTTGCCATTTCTACCTCCACAGCATTTCTTGTATCTGTTCCCTTTTCTACAATCACATGAATATTACCCTAATTTAGGCCTTTATCACTTACTTCCTTCCAGGACTATTGCAGAAGTCTCCTAACTTGTCTCTCGGCCTTAAGTCTATTCCTCTTCTAATCCATTCTCTACATAGCTGATAAAGTGTTTTATCCAAAGTTCAGGTCCAATAATGTCATATCCTACTTAGTAACTCCAGTGGCTATTTATTATCTGTGTGATTATGCATAAACTCCATTGTTTGGCATTTAAAGTCATCCATAACCTGTTTTCACTTACCTTTCCATATTTGTTACTTATTATTATTATTATTACTCATGCATGCTATTGCTCAGGCAAACTGGCTTTCTTATGGTTCCTCACAGATGGTGTTCTATCTCCCAATTCCATGTCTGTGGGAGAGGAAGAAGAACTAAGATGGCAGAGTAGCAGGAAGAAATACAGTGAACTTTCCCCTCCTTATAGTCTAAAGACCTGGAGAGCTTGGAATGTAATATTATAGCAGGCAAAGAATATAGGCTTGCAAGAATAACTTACTCAGCAAAACTGTATATAATATCACAGGGGAAAAGTGGAACTTATATGAAACAGAGGTCTTTCAAACATTTCTGATAAAAAGACCAGAGCCATATACGAACTCTGAAGTGCAAACATAAGAATTCAGAGAAACATTTCTGCTTCTAGAATCCCTGGTTTACTTAAAGTCTCAGCTTAAGTGCCATTTTAAAAAAATTAATGTTTTGAAAGTCAACAAACACACAAAATGAATGTTTCCACATACAAAGTAGAATAGGAAGGGACAACTTCACATGAAACTGCAAGTATTTATTACATATAGCTTGATTATTTAAAAAATATTTAGTAAATATAATGTTTGTTTTTAAAATATATATTTATTCACTTTAATATAAAAAAATGTTGAGTTCCATGTTCTCTCACTCCTTCCACCCACTGAGAAGGCCAGCAATATTATATCAATTATACATGTTAAATAATACAAAACATTCCCATATTAGCCAGTAACATGTTAGTTTCAAAGCTGTATTACTTGTCTGTATTTCCTTCTGAACTTCTTTACTGTTCTCTTCTGGGCATTTAAAAAATGTTTCACATACTATTTGCTCTGGTTTTTTTTGTTTCTTCTTTCTCGTGGTTCCTCCCATTGATTCTAATTCTTCTTTATAGCATGACTAACGTGAAAATATGTTTAATATGAATGTATATGTAGAGTCTATATCAGATTGCACGCTGTCTTGGGAAGGGGAGAGGGGAAAAAAGGAGGGGGAGAAAATTTAAAACTCAAAAGCTTATGGAAATGAATGTTAAAAACTAAAACTAAATAAACAAATATACAAAAAATTTTTTAAATTGCTTCAGTGGCTGATAGAGAGCGAAGTGAGTAGAACTAGTATAATATAACTAGTATAAAATGAAATAATATAATGAAGAAAAACAATTGTGAAAGACTTTAGAATTCTGATTAATGCAGTGATAAACTATGAGTTCCGAAGACCACAGATGAAGCATGCCACTCTCCTCTTGCCAGAGAGGTGGTGATCTTAAAATGCAGAAAAAGATAAGGCAGTGGAGAAAAAATATATGGTCAGTGTGGGAATTCTTTTTGCTGGACTAAGCTTGTTTGTAATGAGAACTTTTTTTTTCTTTTCTTTTCTCAGCGTTGTTTTCACTATTTAAATAGTTCTGGTTTTGTCAACTTAACTATGCCTCAGTCCTTACCTGTCTTTCCAGGTTTCTCTAAATCTTTACCTTTAGTCATTTCTTATAGCATAATAATATTTCGTTCTATCAACATGCTATAATTTGCTGACCCATTCCCCAATTGAAAGACATCCATTTTGTTTCTAGTTTTTGCTACAACACAAAGTGCTGCCATAAATATTTTTGTACTTCTTTGATATTTCTGGGATGTGTTTAGTAAATGTATCACTGAGTCAAGGGGTATGCACAATTAGTGGCTTTTGGGGGCGTACTTCCAATTGTTTTCTAGAATGTCTGGATCAATTCGCAGCTCTGACAACAATGTATTAGCATGGCTGCCCTTCCTCAGGCCCTCCAACAATCGTCATTTTTCTTTTTTGTCGTCTTTGCCAATAAGTTTAATGTGAAATCTCAGAGCTTTTAAAAATTTGCACTTCTCTTGTTAATGATTTGGAGCTTTTTTTTCCTTAGGTTATGGTAGATATCTTTCTTCTTTTGAGAATTGTTTAGTCATGCTCTTTGATCTATTGGAGAATGGCTTTTGTTTTTATCTAATCAATTTTTATATATCTTGGAGATCAGAGTTCTATCAGAGAAATTTATTGTAAACATTTCTCCCTAATTTACTGTTTCCTTTATAATTCTAACTATATTGATTTTGTGCAAAAACTTTTCAGTTTTATGTAATCAAAATAGATCAAGTACTGAACTGAAGATCTGGATTTAATTCCTACTTTAAACACCAACTAGCTATGTGATCATGGGCAAACTTTAACTTAGGGCTTCAGTTTTCTTATCTGTGAAAAAGAGGAATTCAACTTCAAGATCTCTTTTCAGTTCTAAATCTATGATCCATTTTTTAACTCCTGGGATATTCTCTATGTTATTTGTTTAAGAACTCTTCTATGGTTATAATCCCTGATCCCCTTATTTATCATGACTTTCATATTTAGGTCATTTGGAGCTTACCCTGATCGATAGTGTGAGATATTGGTATATACCTAATTTCTTTCAAACTGCTTTCCAGCTTTCCCAGCTGTTTTCTGTTTGAACAGTGTTGAACATTGTTGAATAGTGAATCCTAACTTTAGTAGTTGGAGTTCTTGGCTTTGTCAATGATTGTGTTATGATATTTCATCCTTTTAAAGATCTCTTTTATGTGGTTTTGTAATATACATAATTATGATTATGGTAGTATATGAATAAAACTTATGAATAGGTTACTATACATTTGTAAGAAAGGATTTTTTCTCTTCCTTTCCCCCTTCCATTATGTTAATATAATCATAGGATATAATCATAGATGATGAAGTATTAATATATTAACAAGGTATTCCTTAATAAAGCATGAACACCTCTCACTTTCTCACTGAGTCATAATGAAACTTCCTCTAGTTCAGTTCTGTGATTTGTGAGCAGTGCTGAGGTCTGACAAGAGAAGAGTAGCAATAGATAAGGGTACAAGGGATTAAAAACAAAGAATAGTGTTGAATTGAAATGTCTTATTAGGTTAAAGTGGTAGATATTTACCTTTTCACCTTGGTAGTGACTCCTCAAGGTGCGACCTCAAGCCTGAGAGAGGTTCAGAAAACTTGGCAGATACCCAGAGCATCTTTCAGTGCCAACACCCTTCATGACAAGTAGATCTGAGCACTTGAGTGCTAACATATGCTCAAGCTTCTGGCTGTTGGATTGAACTAGGTACTGGTTAGAGCTCCCACCTTCTCCTACCATCTACTTGTTACAGGTGTAAAAACCATGATTCCTAGCACCCTCTGTCTCATGAAATATGAAAGTATGCAGGGGGCAGGGCATGGAGGCATATACACTTGTAATCCCAGCTGCTGGAGAGGCTGAAACTTGTAGATTTCTTGAGTTTAGGAATTCTGAATTGCAGTGGGCTATGCCAATCAGGTGTCCATAATAAGTTTGGCATCGATATGGTAAGCCTTTGGGAACAGGGAGTAATCAGCCCAGGTTGGAAACAGAGGATGCCAAACAAAGCTCCTATACTGATCGCTAGTGGGATTAGCTCTGTGAGTAGCTCCTGAATTTCAGGTCTAGTTGGGTAGAACAAGTCTCTAAAAAAAGAGAGAAAGTACATAGATGCTCAAAACAGAAGATACATCTAGAATGCATAACAGGTTGACAATATGGAAGTGATAGGATTTGAGAGGCCAAGAAGAAATGTAGTCCATATTTGGGGAAGAGATCAAGAAAAAAGTGTGTCCAAAAAGGGTTTGAGGTCATACAAAATGTTTGTATGTTATTTGACTTGTGAGCCAGCATTGTTTTAAATGCTGGCACATGATAGCCTCTTTGTTTCCCTGAATGGGCTTCAGCTATGGACACCTCTCATTTACTCCTTACGTTTCTCACATGGCAAATAGCTTTGCCTGGGAAGTTATGGACAAGACACTTAACATCTGTATTTGAGTCCTGGTTCTGCCATGTAATAGCCAGGAGATCTTAGGCAAATCACTTCATCCCTAAAATAAGGGAGTCAATAACATCGCTTCCAGCTCTGACATTCTATGATTTTTTAAAAACTGGTCTGAATGAGCATATGTTGTGGCTGAGGTGTTCTGTATCCCCTCCAGCATACCACACATGAAATGCCTAGCACTATTCCCTACTTCTAGTAAGCACTCATTGAACACTCGTTGAGTCAGTGACAGTGCCACAGAAGATTCATTCTGACGTCATTTGGAATGAAATTCTATAGTTAGCAACCAATCTTGTCGTCCGTAGACAGCCTCTGGGAGCAGAACAGACCTTTGCTTGCTGCCTAGCAGTTCTTTCCATTGGTATTTGCCTGTATTCTTTAAGAAAAGAGGAAAGAATCTCCCAAATATCAAACATGTATATCAAAATTCATAGCACAAAAGCAAGTTCAGAATCTGACCTAGAATCTGAGAAATCTACAGAAATAATACCTCATACTCTTCAAATACCTGACTCAGTGAACACAGTGATATGTAGAATAGAAGAATCTCAACTAAGTCGAGCCAAAGAGGTAGGTGGAGAATCAGGAGGTTTCTAATTTCAAAAAAAGTATTCAGTTAAATGGTCTTGGAATTGTTTTAATAATATTCAAAAGCTGTCTCACGGGAACAGCAGTATTTGGAGGAGTCAAGAGACGGGGAAGATGGACAATTTATATATGTGGGCAAATTTCTTTTCAAAGGACTCCTCTTGCTTCTAGATGACAAATTTCATCTGACTCTGTAGAATCCTAGCCAGTCTCACATATACATCAAAGAACACAGGCTTCAACTTAATGTTCATTTCCTTGATCATTTGTTAATCAATATTAATGTAATTTTTACATCAGTAGTTTGATGGCTCCAAGAACCGTATTCAAGGCTGGGAAATGTAAAAAATAAAGTACAAACAGTGACAGAACAGTAGTAGAGAGAAAGGCCCTTTAGTCAATTCTTCCACATTTTAGCATTGGAAGGAGTGTAAGCATCTCACTATCGTTATGCCAGAAATACAGAGAAATAGCCAGAAAAGAAACAACCCAGTATTGGTTACACTAGTTAATTATACAAAATTCAGGGCTTTCCTAGGAGCTCAAGACATTCAATGTCAGTTGTTAAACCCCTAAATTATCCCAGCCTGGGGTGGGGGATCCAGACAACTTCTACTTTGAGGCAGAGCTTTTTTTTTTTTTTATCATCTGAAGATATCCTTGAAGGTGAAACTGGCTCTTTTGCAACTTGGAGCAGAAGGTACACTGTTCCCTATCTGGAGCACCTCCAGCCCCATATACTTAGACCCTGATATGATTTCAAGAGAACTAGAGAAGGCATTTTACATAAAAAAATGACATTTCCTTCCTGTTGATACCTGAAATTCAAGTCTTTTCTTTTATTTAAGGCTTTATCTCTGATCAAAAATGAAGACCGCTATGAGAAAGAACACACTAAGAATTAGCAGTCCTTTGTAATAGTATATAACCTTTAACATTTAGGGAATGAACTCAAGGGCACAAAAAGGGAAGGTAAAGGTTCTGAGGACAGATTTTGCCTACTTGATAATTTTTGTCCACTTGCCTTTAATCATTCTACTCTTAGGTTGGAAAAAAATTACCCTGGGCATAGGGGAGGAAAGCAGTCATTCTATCCTTTCTAGTTGCTTTTCCTAGCTTTCTCTTTAGAACAACCAGGTAGGTGCCAGGAAAGTACCGCTAGATTTGAAATCATTGAAACTAGATTCAAATAATAGTTCTGCCACTTTATAACCTTAGGAAAATCGATTCACCTCACTTGGCCTCAGCTTCTTCATCATCATAATTTTCTTCTTCTTCATCATCATCATCATCATCATCATCACCCAGCTGGGTGGCACAGTGGATAGAACACTAGGCCTAGAGTCAGAAAGACTTGAGTTTAAATCTGGCTAGTTGGGTGACCTCTGGGCAAGTCACTATACCTTGGTTTACCTCAGTCCTCATCTGTAAAATGGGGATAATAATAGTACCTCCCTCCCATGGTTGTGGAGAGAATCAAATGAGATAATAGTTGTAAAGCATTTAGTATAGTGGCTGGCACATATAAACACTATATAAATGTTAACTATTATTTATAGCTAATACATATAGTTCATTTAGACATGCATAGTACTTGACACATTTTATTCAATCCTTACCATAACCCTGAGAGCTAGGTGTTATTATTATCTCCATTTTCTAGATATAGTTGCTGAGGCTGAAAGAGATTAATTGACTTGCTTAAGGTCTTGCAGCTAATAAGCCTGAGGCCTGCCTGAATCTCTGTTCAGAACTCTATCAAGTAGGTCTCACTCTTTATTTATAAAATAAGGGAATTGCACTAAATGACCTCTAGGCTCTTTCCAGATCTAAATCTCTGATCCTATGCCCTGAAATATATATATTTGAGAGAACTATTGAACTGAATTGCACTGCTCACTGAGCTATTTCAAAGAGCTCGAGTGACAAGCCTGCAATAGATAAATAGGGTTTGGGGATGATCTAAGGAAAAAGGAGTGGCTGACAGGAGGCATTTGTGGAGTACCTTTTTTTTGCATTCAATTTGATGAACTGGATCCCCTAAATTGAGGTAAGGTCAGAGGGCCATGTATTAGCACTTTGTGAGGGGGTCAGGTGGATAAATTTGTAAAATGGTTAGTAGGGCCCTCAGGTTCTTTTTTTTTTTTTTTTTGGTGAGGCAATAGGGGTTAAGTGACTTGCCCAGGGTCACACAGCTAGTAAGTGTCATGTGTCTGAGACTGGATTTGAACTTGGGTCCTCCTGACTCCAAGGGGAGCTCTATGTACTGCGCCATCTAGCTGTCCCTCTCAGGTTCTTTAAATGGTTATTTGTATGGGAGTGGGAGGGAGAATAGATCAGATCATCTCTAAGTCTCCTTAGTGCTTTTATAGTTAATGGCAGTCAGACTTGTCATGCTATCACCTAGTGTTCTACTGCCTAAATAAGGGAATAGAAGGTACTGTATTAACTTCAAGGAAATGAAATGGTGATGTATTCATGAGTTCAGCAAGGATTTATTGGCTAACAATTATGTATACATTATTCAACAGGTATAAAACTGAACTCACTATTCTTCCACCCAAACCCACCCATCCTCTAAATTTCCTTATTTCTGTCAAGGGCATCATCATCCTTCCACAACCTTGGTGTTGTCCTTAACTCCTCACCTTCATGCTACATATTACTCAATTGTCAAATCTTTGTTTTGTATCTCCATACCATTTCTAATATAATTCTGATATCTTCACTCAATACCACCCTACTTTATTCCCCCATTTCTTCCTGCCTAGACGATGATAATACTTTCCCAAATGAATTAGCAGCTGTGTGACTTCCCACTCCAATCTATTCTTCACAAAGCAGCCAAAGAGGTTTTTCTAAAGTGCAAATCTAACCATGTCATTTCTCCCCCTGCTCAGTAAACACCATTGGCTCCCTATTACCTGGAGAATAAAATATAAATCCCTCTTCTTGACATTTAAAACCTGTCCACACCTGGATCTAAACCACCTTTCCAACCTTGCACATTACTTCCTTCCATGAACACTGTGATCCAGCCAAATTGGCATTCTTGCTGTTTCTCATACATGACACTCCATCCCTTGCCTTCTCGTTATTTATGGCATGGTAAAAAGAAGACTGGATTGGAAATTGGAGATTAGGGAACCTTATCAGGAGACCTGATTTTCAGTCTTTTCACTGTGCTATACTGTCAAGGATCGTAGGATCATAAATGTGGAGCTCGAAAGGGACCTTACAGGCCACCTTGTTTATCTCTTTTATTTCACAATGAGGAAACTGAGTCTCAGAGAGATTACCCAAGGTTACATAGCTAGTAGGTGACAGAGCTTGGATTTCAAGTTGGGTCTCCTGCCTCCAAATTCAGTATGCTTTTCACTGTACCACACTGCCTTTCCATTAGCTTCTCTTTCTTTTTCCAGTCTAAGTTCCTTAAACCTTAGTGTTTTCTTATGTTTCCCTTTATAAACTTCCCTATGGAGCTCTTCTGTTCTCTCCTCTCTTTATGAATTCAAAATCTAGCCCTGACCTGCACATCTTATTTCCAACTGACAAATGGATCTTCCTGAATCCCCTCTGTTTCTTTCTCTTGTGAGTTCATCAGCACTCCCTTTGCCAATTGGCCATTGTCTTGCAACTTATAGTATTAAAGAGACCTGCTGTACATTTCCATGGCATATCCTGTCACTATCTCAAACTCAACCTGTTAAAAACTGAGCTCAATTCTCTTTTTCTTCACATCAGATTCTCATTCTTGACTACTCTGTTTCTAATATAATCTAGCAAGCCAAGTGCTAACCTCTCTAGGATAAATACAAATTCCTTTATTTGGTATTTAAAGATACTTAACAGTCAAGTGCCAGCCTACCTTTCCAAACTTATTTTATATTATTCCTCCTCAAACACTATAGGTTCTAACCAAGATAACTTGTTGCTTTTTCCTGTATGTAAGGATGTATCCATCCCTTTCTTCTTCACCTTTGCATAAGCTCTTTCCTTTAAGATGCTCCCCTTCCTCATCCTCTACCTCCTGAAACTCCTAGTACCCTTCAAATATCAATTCATATAGTACCCCCTTTGTGACTTTTCCTCTTGCTACCTGTTGTCACACGGCTACTTCCTCACCACTTTGTATGTAAAACCTTGTATCCGTAGCAGGTCTTTGGAGATCAGTGTCTGCTGGAAGACAGAAATTTCTCAGTGCTTGCCTGCTGAGCCTGTGGAGGCCACTAGGTCATGACAGATCAGATAGTCCTCTCTCAGGACTGTGGGGGAAGTAAGGATTGAAATCTCATGAGAGGCAAGAGATGGACATGTAAGGGAATGGAGTCGGGAGATCTAGGGTCAGGGGTGTGTTGCTTCCATAAAAAAGAAAGGGATTGCAGCCAGAACAATACATGAGGCAAGAGGACTGTATTGGCCCTTGCCACTGCCTTGGTGCTCATGCAGCTTCAACACCAGTGCCATATCTAATACCTCAGTAGCTTCAACCACAGTGTGGCTGGGAGAGAAAGGGAGAGGATGGGAGACAAGCCATGCTAGGAGGCCACCCAATGCTGCAAACATCACTGCTGTTCCTGCTGCCCCAACTGGTAGTATGACATTGAAAAAGGAGGTAAGGGAAGGGAAGAAGCATTTTTAATTGCCTACTCTGTTCCAGGCACTATGCTAAGTGCTAAATATTACCTTCTTGGACCCTCAACAACCCTGCAAAGTAGGTGCTGTTATTATCCCTTTTTTACAGTTGAGGAAACTTAAGGCAGGGAGCAACCAGGTAAATCACTTGCTGCAAGTCACACAATGTAGTGTGGGGCCCCAGATTTGAGCTCAGGTCTTCCTGACTGTAGGCTCAGCATTCTCTGTCAGAAGATAGTAACTAAACTATATGGAAGATATAAAGAGTGGATGCAGACTAACTTTAACTGTCTTTAGTGCTGAGAATGAAATTGGTGACATTCCTACTTCCTTATATCTCATATCAC